GAGAATGAAAGAATGCGTCAGTTTAAGGCGGGTTCAGAGAGCATGGCGGTGGAGGCTGGTCACAATGACACCGCACACGCTCGTCGGCAGTACGTGATCAGCATCTGGAGTGGCAGCACTCACAGGCTGACCTGAACCACACTTACTGACAACTGTTCCCGTCATCGCCTCTCGTCACTACCAAACGCTGAGCAATGGACTGTCAGTGATCAGGGGCGCTGAAGGGGTCGTCACAGGGTTGAAAAGCGTCCCTCCCCGATAAATGATCGGATGACATAATTGACTCCGAGAGGCACGATTTTCTTCATCTTATTACTACTTTTACTTTCTTTAAACGAAACACAAGCTATAAGGCACCGAGCGCACCATTTTGTATGCATTTTGAGGTTAATACACTCATGCAACGAGTTGCCATATGACTGCACACTTGCCCACTCGTGCTGCTCCTTTCACAACAGTTCAGTGGACTCTTTCTAAACCGAGGGCACTCAGGGGTTTTGACGGAATTTTTCTGGGCTCTGCAGGGTCGATGCTGAGACCCCGTAAAATAACAGAGTATATAAAAATGTTTATCAAATCTTTGCATTAACCTGGTCAACCAGTGCTCATCTTAAACTGTTCAAACGTCAGTGAGAAATAAGAAATAAAGCAATTATGTAGCATAGCTATGAACATGGACGCTCACAAATCTTAGAGACAAAAATTCCGACGCCCAGAGCTCCGTAGGCCGCACGGCGTTGACCCCGCGGCTAGCACTAGGTGTGTATATATATATATATATATATATATATTTATATATATATATGTATATATATATATATATATATATATATATATATATATATATATATATATATATATATATATTGTGTATATATATATATATATATATATATATATATATATATATATATATATGTGTGTGTGTGTGTGTGTGTGTGTGTGTGTGTGTGTGTGTGTGTGTGTGTGTGTGTGTGCGTGTGTGTGTGCGTGTGTGTGTGTGCGTGTGTGTGTGTGTACATTTTCTTCTGGTTTACTGAGAAAAGAACAAGCCATTAACATGGATTCTACCTCCGATATTAACGCGTAGCACCTGAGCTGAGCGGCGGTGGACTCGCTCCGGTTACGAGGCGTTTATGGCGCACACCGCGGCGCTTTTGACTGTAATGCGGCGGCCCCTGCTGCGACGACGGCGGCGACCCGGCAGTGTCTGTCGCCCGGGCGGCGGACGCTGTTTTTGCGTGTCGCCGCTCCCCGCGCAGCTGCTGGACCGAGGAGCGCGCGCGGAGCGGCCCTCCCCGCCGGCCCGTGCCGGCCGGACAGATGGTTGGCGGCGCCGAGTGACGACCGCTGGCCTGGTGTTTTCCTTGCTTCTCGATCTGGAGCGACAGGACTCAGCGCGCACCACCGTCCGACCTCCTCCACCCGCTCTCCCCTGAGGTCGACTTGGTTTACCCCGTGATAAAAATAAAACAGCGTGAATGTGGCCGCCCGCCCGCTGCAGCTAGCCAGCTTATACACGAGGCTGAATAATACTTTCTGTAATTCTCTGCATGTGCAGATGAGCGTCAGGAATGTACTGCGCTGTGAGCCTCGTGAGAGTCCGGTTCTGGCTTTCATTAGCTCATTAGAGCCAATAAAGCTATCCGGTCTCGAGCTGGCGCTCGGCGTGGAGGCCGGAAGGATTGACTGCATTTAAAACACATCTTGCGAAGGCCATGCGGAAAAAGGGACAAAAATCCGAATTAATAAATCGCTGATCATCCAATATTTAATGGTCTAAAGCGCCATTCTTTCGGGTCATCAATTCCATGCTCTAATTCACTTCATGAGGTATAGACCATCTGTCTATACTCCATGACTATCTGTCTTTACTATCGCATACCAATCAGCAAATTAATTCCTCCGTACAATGTTAATGGGACCGGCACTTACATTTGCGTTAAAGACAATCATGGAAGTGCAAAATATTCAACGCATGGTTATAACGCAAGATTTTTCGTGTAATGTGTGGCGATCACCTTCCTTGCATTCATCTGGGTCAAATCAGTGTCAAATTAAACTGACACGAACGCATTCCGGCGTGAGTCATCAACGCTGCTGAGAGTTCTGATACCTCCAACCGGCAGCGTGCGGGCCTAATAAAAGGCTTTCCGCCAGCTCGCGAGGGGTATGCGGCGGCAGTTCCACCAGTCATCTGGCTCCTTTCAATAAGCACCCCATATTTCACGGTGGATTCGCTCCGAGGTGGGAGCAGCCCAGTGGTGGCTCTGGGCCTTTGTGCCCCCGCCCCGCCCCTGGCAGGCAGCTGCGTGAAAGATTGGTGGCGGCGCCCAGGCCCGCCCCGTTGTTCTGCTGAACAGGCGCGTCTCCTCCGCCTTTATGACCTGCACGAAAGGCTCGCGGACGGCCGCACAAACGTAGCATGGCACGGACGGGCGCGGCTCACTGTCTGCCGGACCAGACAAGCCTCTGCGCTCCGGCCGGGCCGAACCCGCGGTTAGAGCGAGGTGGAGCCGTGAGTTCGTCTGCCAGGCTTCGGCAGACGCGGCCGCCTTCGTGACAGGCGTTTCCCCATTGCGCTTCCTGACCCCGGCTGGCTCGGGCGCGCGACCAGGCGCGGTGTCGCTGCAGCAGTTTGCACGGCGGCGCTGAGCGCGGTGGGTGGTAATGGTGCGTCGGTCGTCTTGTGGGGCCTGGGCAAGACGCCAGTACCCGGGCGCAGGGGCGCAGCCAGGGAGGGGCCCGAGGGGGGGGGGGCGAGTCTCATCCTAAGGCCTATAATTTTATTTTTCACGATAGATGACTTCCTCAAGAACATTAAACATAAGCGTGATGAGCACTCATCGAGCTCCGGGTCTCTCTCTCAAGACAATTCTGGCTGCGCCCCTTCCTGACCGCTGGAGCCGGTCGGCCGCCAGCTGACCTGAGAAACGACATACGGCAGCGGACAGGCGCTGAAAGGGTTAGCCGGCGACACTGTCCGGACCCAAATTGAGGTGTGAGTGATCACCGCTGACTAGAGCCGACACGAACCGACCATTTCCATACGAAAGGTGGGCTTAGTTCCGGTGAGGGACCACACGCAGCCGAGGGAAGGGAGGCCGACCCAGAGGTGAAGCGCACGAGCCTCGTGATTGAGACGTGACCAGTGCAGCTGAGGTGGGAGCCTGGCCGCCTGGCGCTGGCTGGCGCGCTACCCGGTCACGTCTGATGAAATGGGGTTGATTTAGGCCGACGTTGGCTCGTGATAAACATCTGCAACGTGTTATAGTTTGGTGCATGTGCAGAATTAGCCCACACGTCTGCTCTATGGATGCTGTGCATGTTATCAGCAAAGGATAGGGTTACGCTCAGTCGTGTTTTCCGACTGCCGCCGGGGTAAGCCGCACTCGCCTGCCCGGGTTACCGGCTCCGCCCCTCTCGCTGTCGACGTACAGCCGTATGCAGCTGACGGCCGGACGTTTTGACAAGCGCCCGGGTGGTCTCGGAAGTAACCCGTCGTCACTGGTGATCAGGGCGTCCAGTGTATGAGCTTTACTTAGATGAATGGCCGTGTGCGAGCGTTGGGTGCCGGGGCTAGGTACAAGCTAGTCGATATATAAATATGAAATGATACTTGCAGGTCTACAATGAAAGTGATTTTGCCTTGTTTGGCTTTTTCTAACACGTATGCTATCTGATATCCTCAATGCATCAATTAGCCGAGAGCGTCTGCAATAAAAGGTACGAGAGCACGAAACACTACATTTGGGGGGAAAGACGCGTAACAATATGCAGCCCTTGCATGCGAATTATAAAAGCCGCGCTATTGGTTTCATTTACCCCTTCCCATATTGACTCTTCGTAGGGCACAACGGCGAAGCTCATCCTGTAAAACAGCAGTTTGATGAACAACAGCGAACAACAGTGAACGCGTTTGTTCACTGTTTTTCATCAAGCTGTTGTTCCAGCTCAACAGCACGCTTGTTTTATTGGTACCAATGCGGCATAAATCGTACAAAACAAGGCATTCTATTTCTTTACTTTTTGCATGCCATCAATGGCTCATGTTGAAACTCAATAAAAACTTCCGCTTGTTGTTTTTGAGCGAATGTTTCGATGCCAGGTGGAGATGTTCTTCTGCAGTAATCATTATGCAATATTTTGTGAAAACCGGCCACTATATGTCCAACAGGACAGAAATAACATCTCCGCGGCCTTCCTTTGCCATTTACCAACCGTGCACGACATTCAACAATGATCCAAAGTGACCGTAAACTTTAAACTGACGAACGTCATCTTGCGTGTGTCAGTACCGCACATGTACGGGATAACATCTGGCCTACTAAAAGGAGAAACAATACTAGTGTTCTTCTGAAATGCTAGCTGAATAAGTTAGACTAAAAAATGAATAAACTAATTTGGTCATAATAGCCTGCTGGTGAACATCTCCGGCAAATCAACACGTTTCGGGGTGCTGTCCGCTGACTGAGAGAACATTGGCGTGGTGCCGACCACGCTAGCTTATTCTCGCATTCGAAGACGTCCGGAACGTTGCAAGACCATTGCTAGCATTTATTTTGTGTTGTTTTATGATTATTTGCATTTGTGTGTGCCCGCATAATTGATGAGTCTAGCAACAATGCTCATGTAAATATTTTTCCTTTAATCTTACAAATTATGCCCGCACGACTAGCGTTTTCATTTTACTTGCTCTCAGCTAGCTAATGTTAATCAGTTTTTCTTTAAGCACGCGCTCACATCCAGGTCCTCAGCTACAGGTTCCTTGGAAATGGCTTGGGTCAGATTGAGTGTATATCGCCGTCAAAACATTCATCGCCATCAGAGCACTGTAAATACCAATCAATTCAAGGAGCTCCGCTATCGCCGAGCATGCGATTTGTGAGGCTGATGACCGCAGATGGACACGACGCTAGCCTTGACGCTACGGGCGGCGTTGACCTGGGTCTCCACTCACTGGGCCATCACGCAATGAGATGTCGATCATTTTCACTAACCAGTGCTCAGGCAGGCCAGCAGCAGCAGTGCTGATCGCCACATGGTGCTTCGGTCAGCTCCGGAGGTCTGTCACGCAGCTCCGGTTTCCGTCCAGGGCCCACACCTGCCACGTGAAGTCGGTGTCCGTGCAGGGCCCACGCCCGTCACCCGGATTCAGTGTCCGTCACAAGGCCCAGACGTATCACGCAGTTCTGGTGCCGTCACAGCGTTCGCATCTGTCAGCGGCTTCGGTGCCGGTCACAGGGCCCACACCTGTCAGCTGCTTCGGTACCGGTCACAGTGTCCACACCTGTCAGCTGCTTCGGTGCCGGTCACAGCTTTCACACCTGTCATGCGTCTCCGATGTTCGCCGCACGGTTCCGAGGTCTGTCATGTGGCCCGGCGTCCGTCACAAACCCTTGGGGAGGGTAAGGGGAGCTCCTTTTCCCGTCACAGCTTCCGTCACAGCTCCGCAGTTCTCCGCAGCTTCCGCTTCCTTCACACGCTCCAATGCGGCTCTGCCGTTGGCCGGCGGCGCCTTCAAGCTGTCACTTTCGACGCGACGCTCTGCTCGGCGTCCCGCAGAACGGTTCGCCGCTCGTGAAACAACCGCTCCTATCCAGCGACGGCTGCAGCGGGCTCCAGTGCCGTCCCCCGGCTGCGTGCGGCCCCTCCGCGCCGTTCTCCAGCTGCTCCACCGTCGGAGCCCTGGACGTCACTGCCGGCCGCACCTGGAGCCGATGGCTGCGGCCGGGCCGCCGGCCGACGGACCAATGGCAGGAGGCCGCCCTCCCGGCGTGCGCCAGTCTGCTCCGGCCGGTTCGGACTAGGGCCTGACCCGGTCAGGGCGGGGACACCAGACACGTCGTCAGATGTATCGCGACAGTGCGGTGTTATGAACAAACCGGTGTTCCGGGCCCCCAGCCCTTGAAGTTTGCTATCCGTTGATGTTTGGTCTGCGCAGGCGGGGTGTCCTCGTTCAAAACAGGACCCGACCGAGACCGAGCGCTGCCCTGGGGAACGGACCGACATCTCGCCGCCGAAAGCGATGCGCCCCGGCATCCCCAGCATCGCTGTGACTCGGGCCAGAGCTCAGAAGCCTCTCACATGCCTGGTTTGAGCCACATTGGTTCAGCCCACTCCTCAGGTCTCCACAAATGTCGACCGGCGCTTACAGTCAAAGGAAATTCCAAATAAGCTTGAAAAAGTTATTCTCTTCCACTTGCAGGAAACGTCATTGGCTCGACAATATCTAGCTTTCCATGGCGAGTAAACATGGAACTGTCGCAAGAACATGCAGCCGAGCACCCAATGTACAATCACTACAGGTATGTGCCTGGATTTTAAGAAACGACATCATATCCCGCATGATAATCGGACAAAATTAGAAACAAAATTGCAGGTCCCAAGGGGATCTTGAGGTTCTAAAATCCTGAGATCCTGAGATCATGAGGGATTCATAGGCAAGACAAATGAAATGCAATTTAAAGCCTCGATGAACCCTCTGCTAAAATTTCAGGAAAACGCATCCTAAATGCTGGAGGTTCCTGGAGCATGCAGCTAAAGCAATCTTACACTCCATTGGTTAGGCACTGTATTTAGGCAGAAGCATATGTTTGACAGCCTGTGTTCTTACGATAATTATGCGAAGATTCAGCTCTCGTTTGATCCGGTACATGCGCTCTGTACAATAACAAAGATAGCGTTGCCAATGTTTGGACATTTTCAACTTCCCTCCTCCCCTGGTTACGGTGGCAAGCGCAAAGTCCTTAAAACATTATGGCTGTTTTGCTGTCAACCAGACCAGTAGCGGAGTGGAACAAAAACGGGTTTTCATGAGGTTAACCAACAGCTTCGGCTGTAAGGCTTTGAGGCATGTCCTTTTTGCGTGAGTTGCAACCAATGCTGAAAGAAACGTTCAGTCTAACCCGTGAAAAGCGCATTCACTCTGAATTATACCTGTTATGAAGGTACCGTTTTGACAGCTCGGCACGTTTCCACGTATGGAAATGTCACACCCACAAACGTTTTCTGAATTGATTGTTGCCCCGTAGCACAGCTTTCTGCTATAATTTGCATCATCTTGGCAATTGATTTCTGCACAATGGGACGCTTGACGGATTAGATCAATCCGCAGGTGTCGGATGCATTCGCGGGACGGGTTGGACGGGGCGAGAACATTCGGGCAACAAATGGTTGGGGGACAATACCGGGTTTCAGAATTTGCCAGACCACACGGATTGAGCGGACTTAAGATGAAAAAGGATTCAACAGACACAAACTGAATTTGCAACACCCGTTGTAGCACTCACGTGAAAATAATTAAAACCTCACAAAGCTGTAGTTTTAAATAATGTGTGATGGAAAGGTATCTTGATCATGAAGGCAAACATGCCACTGAGTGCATTATTGTAGAAAAGAAGGCGATTTACAAAAGATGACAGCGATTTGAGAGGTTGTCATAAAGTCCTTAGTAGCCAATTATTTACGTGGCGTGGCAAACCAAGGTCGATTGCCGTCCATGGAACTAATCATGCAGAGAAAACATAATTATGGCCACACCATTACCAACCCTTTGATGACAATTCGGAGCATTGTATTGCCTAGATTCTACATTATGCGGAGCAGCATAAGAGCGGAGGATTTAAAATGTCCAGTTTGTGTCCTAGACATACGCCAATATTACTTACATGCAGGTTAATAATGAAGTTAACCAATAAGCAGCAGTTGCTTCTTACAACTTGACAGAACGCTTCAAATTGACCTATTGATTGCCGGTTTATCAGCCTGTCGGAGCATCTACTTATATGAAATTTGTTAGAGAGAAGCAATCAAATTTGTTAATATGCATTATATTTGTCTGTTGATTGGAACATAAGCAAAATCCTGGAAACCAGCGGGAGGAGGGGGACATTTTGAAATATAACTTTGCTGAGCCAGAGCGGAGAAGATCGAATTCCGAAATTTGAAAAAAGCCGGAAGGGCGGGCGGGTTGAATTCCAGAGAACCGGGCCGGACCTGACCAGATACTGAAAAGTCAATCATCGAACTGCTCTGATGCGAATCTCCGACAGAACAGATGGCAGGGATCTTCACCACAGCATCTATACACCCGAACCAGACTAAGCTCGACGCAGCAGAACGTCATTTCTCAGCCACGTGGCTCTCCCACCTCCGCCACACCGCCCACGTGCTGACCGCCTATTGCGCAGACCTGCAATCTCACATCAAGCAGAGCAGTTAAAGCTATCGTACCGACTGTGGTGTGGGTGGCATGAGGTCACCTGTGGATAGAGATCTTGCAGCTCGGTGTCTGTGAACAGCAGGAGGCTGCGCCTGGCGCGGTGCCAGCAGAAGCTCTTCGCTCGTGGCGGCCGGGGTCGGCTCCACTCCGCACGGCCCTTACTTTCGTGCGGCACGAGAGCGGTCAGGTTTCGTGGCGAGCAGGCTGCATGACGTCATGGGAAAACGCGCGAAAACTGGGGCGGAAAGCCGCTACCTGACTGAAGGCAGCGGCCCTTTTATTCCAAGGAATGCGCCTGACCGGATGCGGCCGAGAATAAGGAGCAGGTTAATAGAAAGTTCACACAAACACTCAGGCCCAGGTGGGGTTGGCTCCCGTCTGAGATTGGCGCTATCAACACTTAATAATCGTGTGAAATATTTCTGCCGGCAACATTATTTTGCTGGCTTTCGAAGGGGAGCCCCGCGGGTCGGTCAGTTAAAAGGAAGGCGGCGGAAGTCGAGCAGGAGGCGAGAAGAGTGAGGAAAAGGGAACGGAGAACAGGGAAGATATCAAAAGAGGAAGAAAGAGCAAAGGAGACAAATCCAACGAGAGGTAGAAAGGGGGGTAAGGAGAGGGAAGGAGATAAGGCCAAACTTACCAGAGCGGTGTGCGGAGTGGGTAACATAAATGTAGAGCAGGGAGGCACAGACCGAAAAGCCAGCGACGAAAAGAGCACATTCGAAACACGTCAGCTGCGTTTGTATTAAGGCATGCACAAATGTAACTTGTAAGCGGAACCACTAGAGCAGAATCGCAAGCTGAGAAAATGTTGTCTTGGTTAATGCCCGAATGCCCTTGTTCAAACATCAAATGAAAGTGGCCTCACTTTTCGACCATGGTGCAAACATACTAACGTGTACGTGGGCTATCACGCGAACCTGCTGGCATATGCTTTATATTTACGCGACTGGTCTGCTTAATTGAAGATCCTGTCATTCATTTATCACTGTGACATAAAACGCTTCGTCGATTATTCTACAAGCTAGGAGGTGCTAACATCGCCATTAAGCGCTTTACAGATCACACAAAGTGACATCTTAAAGCCCCAATGCTTTTGAAACGGCTCTAGGCGCCCCTCTGGACCTAGAGACGTCAGCCCAAACCTGCGTCCCCCCCCTCCCTAACTCCGTCACGCCTCACGAAACTTAGGGCGTCTCCTCAGACACGTGGCACCTCTTAAGCTGCCTCTCCATACCTTCCGTCGTATTTCCAGGCTCTGTGCCTCGTCTTCGGGTGTACACTTGACGCTTCCCAAGGCCCCGTGACATCACATTAGGCTTCCTTGACGGCCCCACAGCCCTCGCGACGCTGCTCCATACGTCGTGACGCCTCCTCGGGGCTTCGTGACGCTTTCACGAGCCCCGTCACCCCTTCCTCGCGCGGCGCCGCCTGCAGCCCGATCGTCACGCTCGTCCGGTCGGTGGAATGCTGCTGCTCTCTCCACTGAAGTCATTTGCCCTTCTCGGTGCGTTGCACTCCATGCCTGGAAGCTGCTTTGTCATTCTCTCCGTCACACCACCTCTCCACTGAGCTGCGTCCACTCACGCCCCATGACAGCACCAGCTTCCTGTCGTTTGCATTCGCACATCATTCTTGAACTTTGTTGGAACGATTAGCAGGAATGGCGCAGAGGTTAGAGGCCGCGGCTGGAACGGGTTGTGCTGTCGCACGGCCCTGACCGTGAATCCGTCGTAACCCGCTATAATGACGAGCCGCCGCCTGGCGAGCTGTGGCGACGCTCCATCGCCGTTGTATCAAACACGCCGGCTGGCAATTCTCCGCGGGCCACAAATAGTTTATTTCGTTCAGGAAGGCGCTCGGCGCCTTCTTTTGTATTAGAAACAATGCGTTGATTAGTTTAAGTATTCACAATGATGTGAATCAGTGAATGGTTTGCTCCCTGATAATCGGGTATGCACGGCACTTACGCCTCTTTCTTTTTGCGATCGCCCATACAACATATTCGGGATGATGTTGAAACAGCTGGCGCCGTCAGGCACCTGCGCCACTGTCCGTAAGTTACTAGACTGCTCCCATTGCTAGATGCCCGAGCTTCTGTCCGCGGCTCACTGTTGCCATTGCCAGGTGCCCGAGCTTCTGTCCGCGGCTCACTGTTGCCATTGCCAGATGCCTGAGCTTCTGTCTGCGGCTCACTAGACTGCTGAGATCGTCAGATAACTGAGCTGAACGTGAAGTCGCTAGATTGTTCCATCTTCAGATACCTGAGCTTCTGTCCGCGGGCACCAGATTGTTAGCATTACTAGATACTTGAGCTTCTGTCCGCACTCACTAGACTGTTGGTATTACTACATGCTTAAGCTTCCTTCCGTATCGCACTAGACTGTTGCCATCATGGTTTACTAAGTCCCCATACGCAACTCACTAGACTGTTGCCATCATGGTTTACTAAGTCCCCG